TTACGTTCTCTTTCACCTTAGACGATCCAAGACAGTGGAAAGACGAAGCACTTGCAAAGGTGTTGGGCTGTGGTGGAAGCACAAGGCCGCATCGATCAAGTCACCTCAGCAAAAATTCAACATTCACATGGAGGAGATGTTAAAGATCAGATCGCTCTGCAAAACTGGTCTAACAAGATTCTCCTTGTGCAAACAAATGCGACTGCCATTTAATGGCGGAACACCCCACACCACAGAAGTCAAATTTAGCCAAGCGTCTCAAAAGCTCTGTTGAGCTTCCTGTGCACAAGTCCTTCACTGCTCGCCAGTCCTTCGACATCAAATTCTCTGCCAAAATCACTGAAACACTGAAGACTTATACAAGTGTTACGCTAGTAGTAACAAGTGCCACGCTAGTAGTAACAGGTGCCTTACTAGTAGTAACAATGTTTGCTATTAGAAACAAGTGCATCGCTACTAGTAACAAGGGCTGCTTCTTTGTCTGAAAGAAAGTCGGGAAGATGCAACGCCGGCAGCAAAAAGAACAGGATGAAACAAGTCTTCAGCGGATGGGGACCTGTCGCAGTGGCTTCACTATGTTCCTCTGACTTGCTTAAAGTGGATGGTTGCACAATGTTCCACATTGTCTGAAGTGGATTGGTTGCCACTGGCATTGCACATAAAATTATAAACCTGACGCCTCTCTTGTGCTCTCTTGTGTCCTCGACTTGAAGCAGAGCAACTGATCGGCATCCAGGTCCCAAGGTCTGCGATAAACGATCAAGGAAAACCTGAGCAAAAATTGCGCTCCAAAAAGAGATCCTCTCTAGACTAACAGCAATGGCCTCCAACCCAATAGCAATGGCCTCCAACCTACTCCCCTAAGAGCGATGGCAACCTAAGAGCGATGGCCTCCAACCGATGGCCTCCAACCTAAGTGATGGCCTCCAACCTACTAGCAGTAGCGAAGGCCTCCAACCTACTAGCGATGGCCTCCAACCTAGTAGCGAAGGCCTCCAACCTAAAAGCTTTGGCTGTTTCAGGAGAAAAACTCCCCAAGATTCGTCCGGCTTTGATCCCCAGAGGTCTCGAAGCTTCCACAAGGCATGCCTCAGATGTCGATCAAATGTCAATGTCTGTCGATCTGGCGCCATGTCGATCCGAAAGAAGGCGCCAAGTGACACCTCCGCGATGATCTTGAGCAACTTTCCAAGGCTCAAGGAATCCTGGCCAAAAAGTCAAGAAGAAACTTTACTCAAAAAGGCTAAGTAGCTTCTTGTTACTAGTAGTAACAGGTGCCACGCTAGTAGTAACAGGTGCCTTACTAGTAGTAACAAGAAGCTATTAATCTTTGTATCAACTTGAAATCAAGGCCAAATAGTTGTTGTCGTAGTGGCGATCCATTCTCGCAGTGGCGATCTTTCTCTGACCCGAACCCAGTCTCCGGCCTTATTCATCTTCATCTTCAACTGATCCTGTGCTGACCTACCGGAACTTGCTTGAAATGGACGTGGGTGTGACGTGTTTCGTTTTTTTGCCGGCCCTTACTTGACAAACTTGTTCGCTCCTAGCTACTTAAGCTACTACATATGGACGCAGGATAGCTCACGCTTCAAGGAAGCTCCCCCCGCCTTAGGGTGGGGGGAGCTTCATTGAAGAAGCGCTGAAACCAATGATTTGGTCCCTAGATTTCTAGGGAAACGCTTAAAGTAAGGGACATAGTGTGCGTCTAGAAAACCTACAAAACAGGCATGGCAGTTTTTGCGATATCGCACAAGCATGGAAATGTGACATGTTCAGAGCATGTGGATTAGCTTAAGGATCAGCTGTCTTCATTATACGCCAATGGCTGAAAGGTGCTTTGCGGGAAAAAGGAAAACACACTCTTTAATACGGCTGTTCTTTTTTTTGTTCTGTCTTTCGTTGTTTCTTTCTTTGGGCATGTCTTCCTTCTTTTCTTGATATTTGTTCTATTTCTTTTGAAGGGGGCCCAAGTCCACAGAAACAAAGAAACACACAAACTTATGTTAGACCTGTCTTCCTTTTATTTGTTCTTTGTTTCATCCCCGTGCAAGTTCTGGGGGGGGTCCATACCCCCAATTTATAGATATACAACTATAAAACGGTGGAGCCAACCCCCAGGGGTACTCTAATTTGAAGAACCTGACCTCCACAGCATTTACATAAAATGACCTCACCTGACGTTGAATTTCATATGTGACTGATCACAAATCAGTGGTACTGAGTGCTTGACAAAGAGCCCTTTTTCTTTTTCAAACGCCAAGTATGTCTGCTTGGCATCCCAAAAGCTTCCAAGTATGTTTTGACCTTTGAAGATCTTGGTCCCTAACATTTTATTATACGATGTTTCTTGTTGCTTCCTCTGGCTTGCCGTTTTCCTGGTGCTGAAACTCCAGTGGAAACGTAGCGGCAACACCATACACACACAATTTCTCTATAAAATCAGAACCTGACCCCTCCAAGGGGTAGGGGACATAAAACAAAATATACATAGGTATACCCCTCCCATTTCATAGTGGAAATGTACACGTGGATTTTGTTTCTAATTGTGATGGCCTCCAATTTACTGCCGATGGCCTCCAACCTAAGAGCAAAAACGGCCGCCTTGTTTAAATGGGGCCCAAGTCCCGTGGAAGAGGTGCTTCAAAAGACTCTGTTATCGATTTCAGCGCCTCAATGCAGTCTCCACCCGTCGGCCTCAGGCAACAAAATGGAAAAAAAGGGAACCTCTAACAAATGGAACACGTTTTGTGTCGTTTTGCATCGTTTCGCTATGTACGAGTAAGTGCGGTCAAGAAAAAGTAGAGCATTCAGGCTCGTCAAGAAAAAATAATGCCGAAGGCATCCGAAGGCCGTGTCTGCTCGGAGCCCCAACTAGACAAAAGCAGCAGCAGTTGGCGCGGCTCACTTCCTCGCCATGTCCACCCACGCGCAAACAGGTCCGATCTGTCTGATGTTCGGTCGAGTTCAAAGCACAAACGGTGAACTGAATGTTTGTGGTCATGTCTTTGCTATCCTTTGCTACTCGCGACAGCATCGTTGCTGCATTTCCCCCCTTTGTGAGGCTTGGGCGAACGGTAGAGCTTGATGAGATCGTGCTGCCCAAGCTGGAATTACTCCCATTGCTCAAGGTGCTCCTTTGGCCGAGACACGAGTGAAACGCCGCGCCGTTTCGCGCCGCGTAATCCCGAGTGGCCATCGCTAGTTGGTTGGACATCGTTAGTAGGGTGGAGGCCAAAGCTTTTAGGTTTGATTTGATCAACTCGTAAACCTTGTCGACCACTGAGCCTCATTGGCATCTCAGTCATTGCTGCCATCCTCAGACCCACGCAACGCCACGGTCTGCGAGATCTAGGTCTCTCACGTCTCTCACCAACCTAACATCACATCCATCTATAGAGGAATCCCTTTCTTCTCAAAGACCAAAATAAAGCAAAGTAGTTGGTTTCTCCTGGAGAAAAAATTGCAAAAGTTGGGCTGTTCGTTGGTGGAGTTGGTCTTGATCGAAACACATAGAGCAAAACGATGCAAAACGGCACCCTCTGAGGATAGCACGCCGCTCCACGACAGGCACCAAGGAAAGATGAGACGCCTTTTTCGTCCGAGCGAGGCAAATCGGCCGGCGCCTTTGTCGACATGGTCCGACTAGGCGACTTGGACCATGTGCCCGAGTTGACATGGATTGACATGGAGCGACCCAAACGACCCACCAAATCGAACCCCTCGTCTTGGCCACAAATGCGGTTTAAACGCCGGGTGCTAGGTCATTGCCCATCACTTCTCGCCGGGAACAAGTGTCTGAAGCAGTTGAGTGAAATCTACAGTTGGACGGAACCGTTGCGAAGGTGTCCTAGTAGCTTCTAGTTTCAATTCTAATTAAATTCTAATTCTAACTCTAATAGTAGCTTCTTGTTTCGATTAGCAAACATTGTTCCTAGTAGTACGGCCAGGAGCCCCTAGTAGCGTCCGATCGCTCCTAGTAGCGTTTCCAGGAGCCCCGTTCGTAGCGAACAGTCAGCGGAGTACTTCGCAGTTCGGTGCGCCGAGATCCGATCACTGCCCTGACGCCAACGCAACTCAGGAACAGCTCGGAAGGGATCGCTGAGATCCGGTCAAGCAGGTGTCAGGTTTGCTTGAGCCAAGTGGCAAAATATCAAGCACCGGGGTATGGTGGGAAAATGAAGAAGTCCCAACAGTGGTCTCGAACTGAAATCAAAGTCTTGCAAGAGAGCAAAAAACAACAATTTTAAGTCTCCAATCTAGTAGCGATGGCCTCCACCCTAGTAGCGATGGCCTTCAACCTACTAGCGATGGCCTCCAACCTGATAGGAATGGCCCGTGATTCTTGGATCTGATCTACCTCGCTTCTACATTGCTACGGTACGTTTCCGGGCCTGCAAAAACGCGAACTGCTCCGAAACGCTTTCAGGCACCTGCCAAGCTCATCATTCACGGTTTCTCCCATGGGCCGGAGAAGAGCAAAAGTCTAGTGAAGGTTTATGAGGACTCCTTGGGGGTTAAGCAGATCTGAAGGCCAGTCTTCAGCAAAGCAAAGAAGACCGGGGAACTAACTCTGCAGTGCCCTCTGCCTCTCTCCCAAACTCAGCTTTGCCCTACCGGGTCCCCAGAGAACGTTTCTGTTCCACCTCCCATCGCGCATCGCCCGGGCTGCGAGGCAGCACTCGAAGCAGGATTTGCTGCACCTGGCAGAAAACGAACCCGGACGCTACTAGTAGCTCTTGGCCTTACTAGTAGGAACAAGAAGCTA